TTTTAAGCGCTCAAAAACATGTAGAAAATAATTTTCTCCAATTTTATAAAATTATTATGTAAAAATCTTCCTTTCGCATATTTAAGGAATAGTATGCATACTTACAAGATATTCACGGCATATCCTATAACTATATGCCTGAAATATATGCTAAATTAATACGGAATATAACTAATATGCTGGGAATATTTCTGGAATATGGCAATATGCCAGGGAAGACGCGGCAAAGTCGAAGGTTCGCAAAATATGGTGAGCATGCACACTCCTACGACGCGTGGCTCGCTAAAGCCACGTGTGTTGGGATGCCGGCTTTAGACGATTCTACTATTTCTACTCATTATTCAGTAATTTACCTTCTAGAGAATAAGCATGAAGCTGCTGACTCTCTTAATCAAGGAACACAAGTAATAAGAGGTTATCATAATAGCAGAGTGGACTTACATAGTACCGTAAGGTGGGGTTAGTTGCAACATTTTCAAAATTCTTTTGCCGATACCTTCTTTATTTTTTTGTCGAATTTGACCTATAATTGGTGCCAAAATTTTAGTCTTGTGGTCTAGTATCCGATTCTAACAAAAAACTTTGAACAACATTATTATTTGATATATATTTTTTAAAAAAACTGGGTGTTGGTTGCAAGTTGAACACCTGCAAGGGGATACTTGCAACAAGTGGCTTTTTTCAGTAGTAATTGTATTTAGGAACGCGTGTTAGCTTACTTGCAACACAAAATATTTAAAAAAAAAAAAAATTTGGCTAATTTTGGCCAATTTTGGTCAATTTTGGCCAAAAATTCGTCTCCTTCCTTTGGAAATACAGGCTGCCTACCAGGATCAAGGGGAAATAAGTTTCTTCTTTTCCGAGAAAGCGTTGATGGGTCAATCCCGAATTCTCGCGATGCTTCCCGAATCCCTGATCCGTTTTCGATGGCCCTTAATGCATTTTCCAAAGTTTCGTTGGAATAATTACGGTAGGTCCTACTCCCTAACTGTTTTTTGTATTTGCGAGGCATGTTAATGCAAGTTACCCACTTTCGTACATGCAATTTAAAAAAAAAATCTATTTACGAAAACCTTCAAACTTAACTCAAAACTAGATAATCAATGTTTTAGACTAAGCATTTAAGCACATCATATCCAAATTTGATACAAATCCTAGGGTAAATAAGCTCTGCACAGGAGAAGTTATATTGCAACAATTTAGAGCAATTACCAGAGCTGTCAGAAAATGGCGCCAAATTTTTCGTGTTTAAAATTTTTCAACGTTAAACCTACTCACATTTCAACCTACTGATCCGTACTAAACGGTAACACGTTAGCGGTTGACGCACGACTCAAGCGAGAGGAGGGGGAAAGCAAAAATTCCACCCAATGAATATTGTTGCAAGTACCCCCACCTTACGGTACCGTAATCTCCGCAGACGAATGAATGGCAAGACCGAGCGCCTGCCCTGAATTGAAACCTTATTCTGGACCAATATTTGACTCAAATTTCACAAATGAATTTCAGGGCTCAGTGTCCACTCAATTGCTAAATCGAAGTCATTCAAAATCAGAAAAACTTCCACAGAAAATTGGACATTAATGTAGGTAGTCTGATCTATATTGAGCATTTATTCGGTTGTGAAGCATTTGAAAAGACCCTTGAACATCTTAAGAAACTACACTCCAGAAATTAAGAATAGATATTTCCATTGGTATCTAATGGCCAAATTGTCTATAGATTGTTTGACAAAGAGAGTAGAGATGTAGTCTTTGAAAATGAAAAATTAACGATGCTTGGGGCCGGTTTCTCAATAGCGAGTCACCTTCGGGCTAGTTTTAACTCCTGGGTACACAAATACATTTTTAATGTTTTTGAATATCTGTTAAATCCTCCAAAATAAATTATTTTTATATTTAAAATACTTTTAAATACCTGTTTAAATATCTATAAATACCCATTTTTTTCTTTTGAATATCATTTAATTACTTTTAAATACCCTAATAATTAATTTTGGTGTACACTTTTTCAACATTTGCGCCCCCTTGGAGCTGCGTCATGGCTAAATAGACACGTGGATAAATAAGCTAAAATTTACTTATAAGTTATAGTTTTCCTTATGGTTGTATAATAACACTAAAAACTAGAATTAGGAAACGCAAACGACTGTAAGGAACAAACTGAACAAAAAAGGTACCGTCAACCGGGGTAAAGTCGATCAAAAAATCTAGTTCTTTCGACGCAGCGCCCAAACGGCTTGACTTTTTTGTCCAGAAATAAGTATATATAATCCTTGATATCTCAGCCACAAAATACCGTGGTTGAATATTTTTTACCCAAGACCGTTTTCATTTTTTTTTAGGGCAAAGGGTGATCGGCTTTACCCCGTGGTATGGGGTAAAGCCGATCACCCCTTTAAAACTACATAAAATCGACTTTAACATGGAATATGGATAAAGTCGATCACCAAAAATGAAAAAAAAAAGTGTTAGGTACAAAAAAAACTAGTACTAGCCAAACAGGCCTTTATTTAGTAGGTAACAAACTAGTTATAATCGGAACAAATTGAGTTTCAAATATACAAATAACCGTTTCAAACTTAAGACTTATTCTAAGGTAGGGTAAACTAACGAAAAAAAATCAAAATAAACATAGTAAAGTTATTCTTGGTCAAAAAAATCGAAAAAAAAAACATAAACAGGAACACAGGTTTTCTATCAGACTTAAAGTGGATATTCTAAAAACCTACAAAACTAACAAAATAATCATATTTTCTATAAATAAAAAACGAAACCAAAAAAAAAGTTATTCTAGATCAAAACCCTCAGGTAGAGTAAAGAAATGTCTTCCTCTCTGAATATCCCTCAACTTTACTTTTTGCACAATTTGCTCTTTAGTGACCTCTGCGTAATCAGGGTTTTGTGGGAAAACAAAATGGCGGTCTTTTTTACCTTTCATTCTAAGGGAGCTAATAATTACAGAGGATTCTAAAAGTTCTTCCACTTTTGATATGTAAAATCGATCTCGTTTGTTGGTTTTAAACTTCGTTATCACAAAATCATTAACCATAAAATTTTCTTGCTTAGCAGCAATGTCCGCAGTTGTTTCGGATGTTCCATTTGGTTGTTGTTGGTGATGGGTTGAGGATTCGCCAATTTCATAATCGCCCATATTTCCTAATTCCAACGTATCCTCGACATTTTGCACTTCAGGAAAAGGCGAAGGAGATTTACTTTTTCCTAAAACTTCATAATCTGACTCACTTTCCAAAAGATCTATCTCGTCGATCTCTTCGTGACTACTACTGCTGTCTTTCTTCTTTCTTTTATATTTTCGTGAATTTTTTTTTCTTTTTTATTTTTTATCGGAGTCTCCTGTGTTTTTTCTGAAATATCAGGAAGATCATTACTGCTTAAGTTTTTTCCGGCTATAACGTTAATTTTTTTCCCCCTTCTTGGAGCTTGAGAAGGTCCCGACTTAAGTTGATTTAGGTGATCCACAATAACTTCGGTCCAGGCTTTTTGTCAGTCCCCAGCTTGCGCATTTTTGCGTGGAATTTTATTCAAGACTGCATGGGGATTGAATGGGGCAATCCCACATGCTCTAAATCCAGCAATGGAATTCGCTTCAGATCGTAATCCAACGTCTTCGATTGCATCCTTAAGAAGCTTTGGAAACAGTGTTTTCGGTAAAACACCTCTGTTTTTAATTTTCCACTTCTCCAAGATTTTTCTCCATGACGACTTCAGTGATCGAAAATAAGCCACATCTAGTGGTTGTAGTAGATGGGTCGAGTTTGGTGGCAACAAAACAAACTTGATATTATTATTTTCACATTCTTTTATAACACCTAAGGTTACGTGACTGTTTAGATTATCTCCAAGAAGAACCTTTTCGCCGTCTAATCTTCTAAAATATGGTACGATAATTTTGTAAAACCAGTCCTCAAAAATTGTCGCGTCAAACCATCCGCTTGGTGTATTGTTATACTTGGATCCCTCTAAACCACCCTCAGTCCAACCTTCGTATAAATGTTTGGCCTTATATACAATATATGGGGGAAGCAATGTACCATCAGCAGCAATAGCAAACATTACTGTTGTGTTCGTTTTTGTACTATCTATAGCTCTAAACGCATGTTTGCTCCCTTTTTTTATAACAACTTTGGCTGCCCCAGGATCATCCACAAAGTTAGTTTCGTCATAATTAATAATATGCGAAGCCGGGATGTCTTTAATAGTATTTTCAAGATTATTAAAATATTCTTGAATTGTTTCGTAACTCAGAGCAGCTCTAACGCGTTTTGTATTCTCGGCAAGTTTAACAGTGACATCTGGATTCCGTTTCATAAAACCTGCAAACCAATCAGTTCCAGGTAGATTATTTTTAAACCGCTTTTCAGTTAGGCCACATTTGTTAAGATGCTGTTGAACAATATACCGGACATCAATTGGTTTTAGGGGAAATCCCCATTCAGCACAAACTTGGAGCGCCTCCACCAACTGTCTCTCGTTAATGTCATTTAAAGCTTGCGGCCTGCCATATTTTATATGCACCCTACCATGAACATGATCGTTCAATGTAGTGTAGGGTACCGCATACTGCTCAGAAGCTGCCCGCATTGACATTTCCTTTTTTTTCACCGCCGCCACTGCCCTTTCTAAATAAACTTCATCGTAGTTTTTGTTCCCATGGAACCCAATTTTTTTTTGTAATTTCGTGGCATCTGGAACCAAAATAAGGCCTAAATAAAATAATAACAGCGTTTTGAAACTATCGATAATCATCGATAGATTCTTCGCGACTATCGATACATATCGATGATGCCTACTATCGATAGTTCTTCACCTCTAAAGTGAACCGTAACCTCACAAAAACAAATTATATTTTAAAAGGACGATTTTTTTAATTGATCGACTTTTCCCCATTAGTTGCTGTTTTTTTGCTTTAAAGGCTGTAGTTTTTATGTTTTTATTTTTTTAAATTGTATTTTTGGTGGTGATAACTCTATAATAATCACTTGACCAGATAGTACCTTGAAAAAACATGCAGGCCTTACCTTGTCTTAGGTCCACATGAAGTTTTTCAAAAGTTTTGAAACAACCGAAAACTACGCGTATTATAAAATTAATTTTATTTTGAAAAACAACTTACAAAAACGCTCTGAAACACCCTAGCCGGTATGTCGAATCTATCTGCCAAAATATCCCGCGGTTTGCACCGCTCTACAACACGCATTTTAGGTCATGCGCACTAAAACGTCTCTTTTTGACAGTTGCATCGACTTTACCCCGACAGATCGACTTTACCCCGGTTGACGGTACCTACCTATAGATGAAGAAAACATGACTAATGACAATGAAAATGAACAGAAGAAGGAAACGCAAAAAAAAAATATTGATATGACAAAAATAAAAAGAAAGTTTGCACAGTATTTCACTTGATGTTTCACTAACCATGTATATTTGTATATTTACAAATAGAAAAACTATTTTTTCCTGTGATTGTATTGATAAAATATAGACAATCGGAGTGCTATAAAACTTATCAGAACCAGAAAATTTATCAAGAGACCTAAACTGATATGGATGTAGGATATGGTATCACTTCACAAATGAAAAACAGTGTGATTGGAATTAACAATGTCCTACTGATTCTTAGATAGCTGGATATATTCACAAAATGTTTGGGAATTCTTAAATTCTCTGTTATAGGTTGGACACCATCAGCCCTTAGCCTCAGCATTGCAAAGAGTGTCATCAAAACAAAAGAAAATAATCAAATAACATTTTTAATCATAATTATTGATCTAACAAGAAAATCCAGTGGGTTCGAAGTTACAATTGTTCTTCATTCCTTTATCATTTTTAATATAAACACCAGACCAAGACCAGGTACTGCATCCTCCACTTGCACAAAGTATATAAACACCTATACCTTTAGCGCCAGTCATAGAACCAGTGATGGAGCTCATGGTCAATTTCTTGATTGGAATGTTGCCTTTCGGATTTCCACAGGAATGATCCTTTTCGTAGTCCTCTTGTACGTTGATGCCGTACTTCCTGATGCCAGACAATTTGATATTTTTGTAAGTGATATTATACACAGAACCGGTACCGGCATCTGAATGGGTCTTGACGTGGATACCGTTATCTGAGTTTAGGACGGTACAGTCAGAAAACACTACATTTTTAACTGTGTTTGGGGGACCGCATACTGAACTTTGTCCGACGGACAAACTCAACCCGTGACCACCAGAGCAAGTCAAGTTGCGGAAGATGAAGTTATTTCCTTGATTAACGGCCACGCAATCGTCTTGGTTCTTGACTATACTGTTTTGGACCGTGATGTCCGAAGAGCCGGATACGTCAAAACCGTCAGTGTTGCGACCCAAAGCCTGTGGTCAATAGTTGGTTATAAGAACTGATTGATAATATAATGAAAAAGAACTTACGCCTTTATCTCCGGCAGAAACATCAATATTAAAGTGCTCCAAGACGGTGTTACTTGCAGAATTAATGGAGACACATTGCTTGGGACAGTTCAAAAGTTTGATATTTTTGATAGTCGAACCACCTGTGGTTTTTATTTTGAGGAATTTGGGTTTTACGCATCCTTTGTCGCCCTTTCCATCCCAGTATTTTGGACCTAGAAACAAATTAAGAAAAACTTTAGTATCAGTATCCAGAATATAGCCTAGTGCTTCGACAATTTGACGTTTGATACACGCATAAAACGTCAAATTGTCAACGTAATGTCAAAAAAATGCGAATTTCGCAGTTATGAGTACTAGGCTTAACACAGATATTCATATAAAGTTCAATAATTTTAAAATAAAGCTTTCAAAACTATTTCATTATTGTTAAAGTTCAGTAGAACTTCCACTCCTGTCTTCAATAGTTAAAAGTATTTTTTGTTTACCAAATATTAGTCTAATGATCTAGGTCTAATTGTGTTACCTTCTCCATCCAAAGTAGCTCCAGCACCATTAACCGTAACCTTGTCGCCTTTAATTTGAATCAGAGGTCCTGCCCATTCGCATTCAGCAAAAGCAAAACGGATAGTACCAGCGAACGTCAAAGAAGCTCCACTTTTCAATTTCAAATCCAAAGTAGTTTTAGCTGGGACGGTTATACCTTTCAATATCAATGCATTGCAGCTTTGTAGAGCTGCAGCTACTGCAGAGTAGGAGGTAACAGTGCAGCTCGCATTTAAAGGCGAAGCCTGGCTTGTGGCTGCAGCAGCCAAAAGTGTGATAATAAATAGTTTCATGGTTGTAGTGTTTATGTCTTATAAGGTTGGGAAATGGGAATCATATATATATACTAATTTTTATCATGTGTTAAGTGTTTACTAGTTTCAAAATTAATCTAATTTTCATTTTTTTTTTTTGGGTTAGGCGATACTTGAAAGTATTTTCCAGAAATTAATCCAAATAGAAACAATTTGAATAAATATACATAATTTTATCTATAAGTAGATATATATATTTTTCCATATGATTATAATGTTAAGGTAAATGCACCAATAATTGACACAATTAGACTCTCTCATGGAATTTAAATGTATCTTTGGGGACCCAGTAATTGACACCTATTATCCAATTATTGACACCCCAGTTATTGACACAATAAACTTTTTTTTTTCTTAGTACATGAGTAGGGGAGGGTGGGCCACATTGAGACACTTTTACTTTTTTGGGGATAAAATTGGTATTTTTTTTTTTTAATTTTTTGATTAAATTATTAACGCAATATTATTTATTTTATTTTATGGAGGAATTTTAAAAAATCCGATTTTGTCTCAAGGTAGCCCATGAAGTGGGCCACTTTGAGACATACACAAAATAAAAACCAAAAAAAAAGGAGAAAAATAAGGTTTATTCAAAAATAATACATCGTAACGAGGGCGATAAGATAACTTTTCTTCATTATTTTGTGTTTTTTCAACATATTTTGCAAATGTTTGATGTTTCACGTTGTTTTTATCTTCCGACAAAATGGGATTGATTTTAATATTTTGATGAGGTTTTGTTGTCAGTTTCTAACGAGTCGGGGATTGATAGTTGGGTATAAATTAATTTGCTATTAAATTGTATTAGGTGCCTAATGGAATTACGTTTTTTGGTATTATAATTATTCTTATCAAGTTATTAATAAAAATGTAACCTGAAAAAATGACAAACTTTATGGTATGTCAAAGTAAAACGAAGTTGATGCGGCAACATTGCGACATGCTAACTTCATAATTTTGATTCCCCACATCACAGCCTCCTATAGTTAACAAGCCATGAAATTGGAAATGACGGCAACGTCGCGTATGGTGCTATTTTGTTATTGGGTTATGTGTTTCTGTGTATTGCTTTCATTGTGTATTGTTGCAATTTAGTATTTTTATGGGCATTATTGACGAAAAAGTGGATAGAAACACACCAATATATTGCCCATATTTAGTTGATACCTGTTCCTTTGTGCTTTGATTGCAAATTTTTAGCAAATGGGTACAGGAGCAAAAATGAAGGTAAGGTAAGGTAAAACAATAAAAACAATATTAATATTTGTCTGCAAGAGCATAGGTCTCGATATATTACCTAAGATATTTAAACTTGTTCCAGATGCCATGAAACTACTGTGTTCCTGGGTGCAATCGAACTATTAGGAGTTCCTTGAAAACTGAAGAAATGTAAACATTTTTATTTCCAAAAAAATTCTGAAGTGCAAAAAATGTGGATGAAAGCAATACACCAAGATAATTATACCCGAGATTATACAATAACGAAAAATTCTGTGGTGTGTTGTAAACATTTTGAAGAAACCGAAATAATTAGATTTGAAACAAACAAGGATAAAGGCGTAGTTCGAGAGTTCAAACTAAAACGTCCAACTCTTAAAAGTAGGTACCTCTTATTTTCGAAAATCAGCTCAAGTATTTGAATGGACTTGCCTTCCGAAAAAATCCCGAAGAAAGAAAAAGTTAGATTTTCAAAAGACATACTGAAACATAGGCCTATAACACTTTAGACTCTAGAAATATATTCATTTAAATCAATTATTTACTGTTCTTATTTACACAAATAGTTAAATTATTCATTGAATTACTGTTTTTGGCCCTTTAGTACAATAAATTATGTATTTTTTGTGATTCATATTAATAAAATAAAAAATATATATTTATACAAACAAACACCACCAGGACCACTTGGCGGTAAGATTGCGGTGTTGCCTTTTTAACTTCATGGCTTGTTAAATGTAGGGGGCTGTGCCCACATACATTATTTTATCAATTTTCCTTTTTATACCTCTTATAAGTCACTTATCTATGAATTGTACCTACTTGTTAATTATCTATTAAAGTGTGTTTTTTTTTTAAAGATAATTCTCCATGTCAAAAATTTAGCAACTATGTTGGCAACACAAGCCTTTTCTACATAAAAAATTTGATATCATTGACAATTTTACATTGTATTGCCAACATAATGTCATTTTGACTTTTATCTTTAAGAAAACACAGACTTTACTATTATCATAATTATTATTATCAAGATTTTTTTGGTTTCAACGATAAGAATAAACTAATGCATTTTATTATTTTGCGTTATTTTTTATTTTCAAATTTTATCAGAAATTTTATTGTTCAGTTTTATTTTCATATCAAATTATTCCTTTAAAAAAAAATCTCCCGATTCTTATTCAAAGTCCCGATTTCTTAACAGCTTTTTGATCGGTATACCCGATTTGTAGATATTTCAATCTGGCAACCCTATCCCTCGATAATTTTCGATGTCCTTCTTGAATCTTGGTTCCCGATTTGAAAATGGGAACAAGCAGGAGTGTTTCCACAAAATTGGGAAAACGCCCCCGTTAAGCCAAATTTGAAACTCGATGGAGCCGCCAAAGAACTGCAACAGTTTTTCGGAAATAATAGCGGTATTCCGTCAGAACCAGCACTATAACTCTTAAAGCGTGTTTGACCCAAAAATGAAAGTTTTAGTGCAAAAAAATCTAAGAATACCTAAATATTTAAACCGCATTTTGCGTCAGTTTTTAGTTTAGAATTACAACTAGGTGTTTGTGATCGTCACACTGGATTATCAGGGACAGTATTAACACGTGTAAGAATTTTCCAAAACAAAAGACAATCATCTCCTACAGCGAATTACAACCACTCAAAGAATAGGGTACGGTTCACTGACGACTGAACGAACAGAAGACTACGATTTCGGCGGTTGTGACATCCCAAGTTCCGGCATAATTTATCTTCACAAGGAATTTGCTGGGAGACTATTTTGAATATAGGACTGCGGTTTTCAGAGAGATCTTAGAAATTTTTTTCTTGATTTAAGTAGCTCAAGTCGTTTTTTAGGGTCACACCCCCTTCCTTCAATCCAGTTCGCCCAGCCTGACGATCGGAGTAGTACTCACCTCATAGCAGCTGTCAAAGTGTTGCGCAAACAAGTCTACAATTTCTTTAGGTGTTCGTTTAATTTTATGTTTGTATTCCATGTTTTTGGGAATACCATGGTCTTTCTTGAGAGAGTTGACGTATGACCAAAAGTATTTAATGTGGTTGGGAATCGTCTGTTCAATACTAGTAACATAATAAAGAAGATATCTAAGGTCTATCAAATGTTTTAATTTTTCCGGAAGTAAAATAGTATATTCTATAACAAGTGTGGAATAAGCAAAATTCTACACGAGAGGTTTGTTCCCCGAGCCGAAGGCGAGGGGAACGGTTACTCGAGTGTAGAATTTTGAATTCCACACGTGTTCTAGACTATACTTTTTCTACGACTTCAAATCAAAAAACGGTGACGGCCAATTTGAGTTTTGAGTGTGACGTGAACATTGAACTCATGTTGTCATTGCCTATTTTTATTTTTTGACAATACCTATGTCAAACGCTGTCAAATAGCCTTGTCTATTTTCCATCCTTTTTTCTTCAAAAAGACTGCAAATACAATAATTTTGCTGCACTTCTTGCTCTAGCAATTAATACAAATCGTCAATATTAGTCATTGCTTACATTTTATAGTAATTTTCAGGTTTTTAAGTATTTCTGCAGTTATGTTAGATGGCGCCACAGGTACTCGTTCCATAACAAGTGATGGAATAAATATTCTTTCACTATAGTGATGGAATGAAGCTATTCCGTAATCAAAAACTAAGTCGGAATGGACGGAATTCTCTAATAGTCGTAGAAAAAATACAATCTAGTCTTCTTAGTTCCTAGAAGCTCTATATACTTCTTATATGCTCTATTTTTCTTATTTTTTTTTTCTTGTTTCTGCCGTATACCACCTAGGTTATTTATTCCTTTTTCTTTGTCTTTTAGGGACAAACCTCTGAATACCTTCAAAGATAATCTCGTGAATTTTTGATGAAGATTCTTGCACCTCGTAGGACTATTTCAAGACACTTTCTGGCGCGTTCCATTGCGTACGTTTCCGCTTGGAATATGGTGGGGTTTTTTCCTAAAGCTACCGATAGCCTGCAGTTTGGGCCATATACGCCCACTCCAACCCCTTTTTCTGTTTTCGATCCATTTGTGTACCAGATGGATGAACCGTTTGGGAATTTATGTACGATCTTGTCACTTTTGCGGCCTTCTACGTTCACACTAAAAAGGTGATTGAATTCGTATCTAGCTGGCATGATGTCCACCGGTTTTGTTGGTGTACCATGGCATTCTTTAATGATGCTCATATGTCCAACATAAGGTTCCCTTCCTTTAGGTTTAGAGACCGTATTACCCTTGAGGCCCCCATGTAGGCCTCCCTCCTCACTGCAATGTGCAGAGGGATGATATCTAACATGACCTCTAAAGCAGCGGTTGGACAGGTGTTCATGGCAGCTGTTATTCCAAGACATGCATACCTTTGTACAACTGCCAATCGGTTTTGCCCTGTCTGCTGCTTCACTTTTGGCCACCACACCAATGTAGCCTATGTGACCAGGGGCCTTATAATCATCATATACAGGGTGTCCGGAAAGTAAACGATAATAGTGAAAGGGCTGATGGAGCAACTCATTAGCATCCAGAAAAACATAATATGACCTCAGTAAAAAATCTATGGTTTCCGAGATATTGTCACTTTAATAAAATTCGTTAAAATCGTCTTCTTGGATCAGATTTTCGAGTGTCACCTTGAAATTTTCATTATTCTCAGATTCTGAATTCTGTTTTGTAATGGTGAATAGATATTTCATTTGTCATAGACCAACACTAAAAGTCAAAGCTCCAAACATTTAATAAAAAATCTTTTCAAAGTGGAGTATGGCTTATTTTTATTTTCCATCACTCAAGTTTAAACGTTTCGAACTTTAACTTTTGATATTGGTCTATGACAAATGAAATGTCTATTCACCATTGCAAAACTGAATTCAGAATCAAAGAATAATGGAAATTTCAAGGTGACACTCGAAAATCTGATACAAGAGGACGATTTTAACGACATTTTTTAAAGTGACAATATCTTGGAAACCATCGATTTTTTACAAAGGTCATAGTATGTTTTTCTGGATGCTAATGAGTTGCTCCATCATCCCCTTCAGTATTATCGTTGACTTACCGGACACCCTGTATAACCAATAGATCATTTTTGGCTTTAGGCCCCATGTTTAACTGAATAGTCTTCGGCATGTCCAGTACGCTACTGTTGCTCGATCGATTATTCTTTTTAAATGTGAGTTCCAGGTGAGCTTTTGATCCAGGACAACGCCCAGATATTTCACTTCACTTGAAAGGCCTATTTGTATTCCATCCAGTGTTGGAGCTATTAGGTTGAGATTCTTTTTCCTTGCGAATGGTACAATTATTGTCTTGCTAGGTTTTCCCCTTAGACCCTCTTGCAAGCACCAGCTTTTGATGATGTTGAGGGCATTCTGCATGAGTTCAGTAATGATCCTATCATGCTTGCCTCTAATGATGACTGCAAGGTCATCAGCATGTCCTAGGACCACAAATCCATGGTCACTTATAGTGATGTGAGTCGAGAATATTCCCATGCGAATATTCGGGAACATTGGGAAATTTCCGAGAATATTCGCTGATAAAAAATGGAAACGTTCCCCTGAATGAGAATATTCCCGGAAACTTTCAATCAAAAATTCTCAAAAGAATATTTCCGAGAATTTTCGAGAATATTTCCGAGAACTTTCAAGAATATTTCCAAGAACTTTCCAGAAGAATTTTATAAAAATGTAAGATTATTGCGAATACAAGGTCTCAGTGACGTCAGTTCAATTTATGTGGATGACGTAGCCCAGTCTTTACGGAAACGCTGATCCGATTTACCCGATCATCTCATGTTTGCATAAGCCACGGCAAAGCTTCTTAAGTAATATAATTTGAACTTCTTATTTTAAAGCTCATTTATTAAATTTTGTACGTTAGGTACCTCCTGGGTTTTTTTTTACCCGTATTTAGGAAAGGACCACACTCAAATATAACATACATGGCTTATGGGATCATTGAAGGAATCGCAATTAAATGTCGAGGTGCATCTTTGCACTCCATCAGAGGCAAAGGTGGGTTTGGGTGGTGGGACCCTCCTTCAGTTCTTCTTCTTCTTACCCGATCATCAGCTGATGTACCTACAGTTTGTCTTTTTTCAAAATAATCTTCATTGAAAAAAGATAAAAAATAAAGAGCTGAGAAATTTGGTTAATCGGATCAGCTTTTCCTTTAAAGCCTTATTCAACCGTCCATAAAAGTGTTTTTACTACATAGCTTAATTTTTAGCTGATCTTACAGAAAAAAATAGGTGTTTTTCTTGGTTTATAGTCTATAGTCAGTACACTACAATAATAGGTACTACGATTTGTCTGATTTAGCCATAAATTTTAAAAAAATACAATATTTCCATAAGTTCCCGAAAGTTTCCAATATTCCCGGAAAGTTTCCGAGAATGTTCGCGGCTTTTGAATGTTTCGGGAATTGTACATCACTAGTCACTTACTATGTTTAGAACTCGGTTTAGAAGTTCATCTATTACTATGGACCATAGCAGTGGGAATAATACACCCCCTTGCGGGCACCCCTTGACTGCTAGGACCGTCGCTGAGTCGCTTCCTAGAGTTGCTTTGATTTTCCTATCCTGTAGCATGGTTTCAATCCATGTGATTGTAGTGTCCTCAAAGCCTTTGTTTTTTGCCGCCTTTCTTAGGGACTCATAAGAGGTGTTATCAAACGCACCCTCTATATCAATGAATGCACAGAGAGCGGTTTTTTGGTTGGAGTGTGCCTTTTCAATCCTATTGACAAGGCTGTGTAGGGCTGTCTCCGTTGATTTGCCTGCTTGATAGGCATATTGGTTTTTGTGGAGCGATTTATCGGTTACGAATTCGCTTCTTATGTGTAAATCAATTATTTTCTCCATGATGGTGAAAAGGTATACTCGAATTTTAAATTTTCCATTCAATTTTTTTAATCTTTAATAAAAATCAGTCGCAATCGCACATAAAATCAAGTAGGTATATAACACTCGCTCACGTAAACAGGCTTTTATGGACTCATTATTTAATAGCCTCGCTCGCCAGCTCGCTCGGCCATAAAATTATTGGTGCAATAAAGCCTTACTTTATGTACTTGTTACATAAATAGCTATTATTTAAACATCCCAACATTGCAACTTGTACATCCAAGTGCTAGAAAAATAGGTCCGGAGCTATTTGCTGCAAGCACAAGAAATCCCCTGAGAAAGATGGATGTGCGCATGCCCGTCATGAAAATCCCTGCAAGTGAAGTGGGAATAGCGAACTGTAAAGTGGGCGGGGGAGTGCCTCTTGAATACAATATCTGTATAAAGGTGCATTTATGTTGGAGCTTTGATAAACGATAAGAGTAGCAATACTAGCGAAGCAAAGAAAATCATTTCATTGGTTTGTATGAAGGTGTTTATGTAGGAGCGACACGTTAAGACAAGTTACCAATGAAATTAAATTTTCGCTGGTCTGGTCGCTGCCCTCATCGCCGCTCCTATTGTTTATCACAGCTCCAACATAAACGCACCCTAAGGCACTACAGTCTCCAAATATTTTCTTATGCAGTTTTATTTATTGCGCCTCCAGGTATTTAAAACTACTTCAATGAAGCTGTCTTCAGAACTGGAAGATAGGAAAGAGTTTTACTTTAGAGCTTATTTGTTTAGAAATTTTTAAGTGGTGATGATTCCAGTTTTTAGCAGGGAGCAGCAAAAGTGCGAGGAACGTCATTGGTCGTTTCAAATGTTAAAATTAGAATTAAATCAAATTTTAAAATATGTCGATATTTGTGGTGGGTGACAAATTCATTTAATTTTTATCCCCAATTATATACCTCTAGGTGTACTGAAGAATTCAGAAATAAAAGTATTTAAAAAAAAAAAAATATATAGTCTAGGTAAATATAAGTATTCAAAAAAGTCTCACCTTTTGTTTTATTTTTTTCACAGTATATAATTGACATTAGGTATAACCACTAGATAAATATTTTATGAATAATATGAGCTTTGTCACTTTTCCCCATTTCAAAAAAATATTTACCTCTTGTGATACCTATACCTACCTATTACTTATGAATATTAGTGATGTAAAATGCTCGAGCAAGTATTTTAGGAGAACGTTCTCCGAGCACGATCGAGAATTAACGAGAATAAACGAGCAAAAACGAGCAGGACCCGAGAATTTACGCTTCTTATCAGCAGCTGAATGAAACAAAACATTTTTCTAAATAAATTATGATTTTTCCCAAATTTCCGAAAATTCCCAAATTTCTTGTGAAAGTTCTGAATATTCTGAAAATTCTTCATAAATATACTGAAAATTCTCAAACTTCTTAGGAAAATATAATATAATAATTATATATTATATTATATTATCTCATAATTCGCGTCATGTTTGTTTGACAACAATAATTATTCTAATTTGTCGGGTACCTATATTCTATCTGGCAAAATTTTCATGCATAAGGGCCAAATTATGGACCAACTGGTAAGTGTCTGGTTGTTACCTAGCAGGTACTTTCTATTCTATAATGCATAGAAAGTACCTAAGGGCCAAATTATGGACCAACGGCATTAGAGTGATTTTATTGGGTTCAAGAATCACGCCACTTTCGAAAACATCTTATAGGCTGGGAGTTGGCGACATGTGATTTTATTGGTTAAGATCGTGCTTGAAAATGTGCTGAATATTCTCTATTGTGCTCCAAAGGTAATATTCAGCATGAACCTTTTTTCCGTGCGCGAACGTTCGCGAACGTTCGCGAACATTCTCGAAAGCACAATCAGAACGTTCCCTTGTTCACATCACTAATAAATATTAATAATAACAGGTTTATGTAATAACTAATATAACAACTTTTCAAAAAGTGGATGTTTATAACATTTCAATAACATTATATTATTATAATTCAATACTTATTAGCTAAATCATTTAATAATTGAAGATATTAAGCCTAAATTTCATTAAAAATCTAAATGATATATAAAAAACTAATCACAGAAGTCAGAGATTTGATCAATTCATCAGAAACATGTTACTTGAAACACCAATAATAAATTGAATACTAGGTACCTATTATTTATGTACTTAAGTCTCGACTCAAGTATCTAGTTATACTTGTTTAAAGTGGTGGTAAGTGTGGGTGCAATTTTTTATGTTCCTCATTTTGCATTCGTTTCAAATCTATAGATGCAGGAGTTGGAACACCTAATGGCAATTCTAATAAGTCTGGTTCAAATTGCACAATATGTTCAGCTTCAACTAAAATAACAGGCATATCTAAATATTCATCTGAGACTATTATGGCCACTAATATACCTAAGATTCTATGAAGTTTATTTCCATAGGCTAAATCAGCTTGATAAGCAAATATAAAAGTTAATGGTACTAATGGAGCTAGCACTGAGAGCTTTCGTTTATACCTGTAACTATTTCATTTTATTTTTTAGGCGAAAAAGTCTGGATTATTGAAAATATATTGGGTAAATAGATAACTACCTTGCTAAAGCTCCAACAATGCTCGTCACATAAAATGCACCAAACCAATAAAAGAGCTCTCTTTGCTTAGCAATTTCAAAGGCAACCTGCCGTTCTCTCATTTGGTTTCTCATTTGTAGTTGCCTTTCAATCTTAAATTGAGGATTTTTCAAATATTTTATTCTATCTGTCTTTAAATGAAAATGTAACTACCTTTATGTTGTTCATTTCAGTAATAAAATCTTGATTTTTCTTAAAATTTTCTTCCATGTTTATCGTAAAGTTGTTCCCCATTTTGTATAAATAGTGAATTTGCAGAAACAATTTTTTTTCCGAAAAGTCAGCCTCTCAATAATTTATATCTAACTAACAGCATTAAGCCACAAATTACAGGACTGCAAATGAAAAATAAATTAGGTTGTTATTTAAGTTATTTTTTTATTCTGATGATGTGATGACTGCTGATGTGAAGTGATGGTCAGTAGTTTGTTTGGGTTGTTTTTTGTTTTTTGAACATCGCAGTCATCTCACCGTGCGTTCGTTATTTTGGTCTGAGTTCTCCGAGCTTGACTTTACCGTTCGTTTATTTAAAAAGTGTACTCGGTGCAGCCTCATTCGCGTTCGTTTATTAAAATTTCCGGTACTTTTATACAGCGTTCAACTGCTCCGTTCGCTCGCTGGTCACGTGATTACGGCTCCGCTCAGGTCGCTCTACACTTTGAGCAAAATACCGAACGCAAGGGCAACTGACTGAACAACTCGTTAAGGCCGGAACACACCTATCATGCATCCTTCCGATCCGACTCCGATTATACATTCGGACGAGTGTCTGAGAAGGGAATGGGAGCGGGGATGTCCCACCCGACTCCGATCCAGGGATCTATTCGTTTTCCAGCTGCGGGAACAAGGTCGCTTGGTGTTTGCGTAAGTTTTCTGCGGTGTCTGCTAAAATTGGCAAGAAGGACGGCTATGAGGGAAAAGTGTGGAAAACTCTCCTGCAGATATTCTTCTCCAAGCAGCATGTGCCGAAAATCTGCGTTTTACGCTGTTCTCCATAAACTTGATTTTCTTTATCTTCTAAACAAAGCACCACCATTGACTGAATCGCAGTGCTAAACTTTTTGAAATTTTGCACACAGTCCTTCCGCGATTTTATTTGAATCAAGAATTGGTGAGGTTAAAAAGCCCGAGCCGGAAATCGGAAAGAAGCCGGAAACGAGTATGAAATGTGTGCTCACCCCCACCCCTTTCCGATACCGCACTGATCTGATTCTTGGAGCAACATCGGACCAGAGTCGGATCGGAGGGGTGTATGACAAGTGTGTCCCGGCCTTTAGTTGTTTTGTTTGTGTAGTTTACTCGTGGAGTCGCCAGAGCGGCTTTCTTTTCTAGTGCCTGCCTAGCAAGGATAATACACACTACTGCTACAGTATAGCCTATCCTCATAAGGCCTGTGTGGAACAAATCTGAAACGTCCCACCACGCCAAATCACCAGTTGTGAGGTAGGCAGCATGTCCTTTCTCGCCTTGACGTAGGCTGTTTGCGTTATGGTTTCCATCTTTCTCTCTGCCTAATATGTTAATCAAAATTAAATAATATTTTTCATCATAAATTTAAATTCTAAACTACAACCTCTAGTGCAAACAGCTGACGACTTGTTAATGACGTCGCAAATGGTGACACACCAATATGGCGGCAATGCTCCTAGGGGTGAAAGCTAAGAGTGAAAGGAATACAACAAGTATTGAGATTGAGATTGACAGGTAACTTGCTAATGTTTTTCTCGAACGTAGCTTCACACTCTGGTGCTCCAAACAGCTGTTATTTCTCTCTGAACCACTGGAACGCCTATAAACAGCCCGAGGCACTCTAGAGCAGCTCAGGAGTGCTTAAGTGCGTCACAGAAAAACAACTCTGTTAAATCGTTTTAAAACGTTTCAAAACTAGGCTGGGTTCGATTGCCACGTCATCATATCGGTCTTTATATACAGTGGCGACAAGAGAGGTCCGGCCGCCATTCTGGTGCTTACCCCTTGCTAATTTTAAATATGAATATATAGGATTTAAATTGTAAACGTATTTGATGACTCAGGAACATCAAATACGTTGTTTTCAATTTGTTATGATGGTCGTCTATATCCTATATATCCACATTTAAAGGTAGCGTAGGACACAAAATTGTGGCGTTTTCTATATTAATATATAGGATTTTGGAGAACGAATCAAAAATAAGACGGCAATTGTCGCCACTAATGAACCGGTTGAACCATTTCCGTATATGACGTCCTTGTTGCAACACCAAAATGTGGCATTTTGAAATGTTTCAAAACGTTCCGTCAGAAAAATACATCATACATATCCAAGGATAATACACACTAACTACTACTACTACGTGTGTATTATCCTTGGTACACGCCGGCTGTTTGACATGAAACAATACTACCTCAGAGCACCCAAGTAGATCACCTAAATACAAATGCGAATGAGCGGTGAATTCGTGGTTCGAGATTATATGTAAACACAACAGGCTGGAACACGCCCACGCACTATAATGATCGGCCGCGGACGATCTGTGACATGCCTTAAGGGAGCCGGGTAGGTACCTTGATTTCGTAGCTTTGAATCGTCGACTGCAAGGATGCTTACTTACGCATCTGTATTTAGGTGATCTGTGCTACTACTACAGGATAGCATATCCTTATAAGGCCTGCGTAGAACAAATCTGAAGCCCTCCACCACGCTCAATCACCAGTTGTGACGTAGGCAACATGTCGTTTCTCCCTTTGACGTAGGCTGTTTGCACCACAAGTTATGATTCCGCGGGATTTTGCTTCATGCATACTTGGTTTCACTACATCAATTAACTTTCTAAAACAACTATTTTCTAGATCTCGTTTGCATCTTCCGATTTGCCTATTATGTTAATCGAAATTAAATAATATTTTTCATCATAAATTCAAATTCAGAACCATGACCGCTGGCGCAACCAGCTGACGTCACTGACCAAGGATGATGTACCTGACGACTTAGTAAATGACGTCGCCAATGGTGATACACCAGTATGGCGGCGATTAGCCAGAAATAGGCCGAGAAGCAATAATCCTAGTAGTGTTTATTATCCTTGGATGAGAGAGGGTATAGGGTCACGTGGTCAGAAGAGTAAATTTTATCGGTGTGTTTTCGAACGCACTGGGATAAGGCTTTAGGCTTCCAGAAGACGTCATAAAAGTTACCAGTCAACCCACCTCGTTTAGGGCGGGTATTATAAAACTTTTGACAGATAGCAAAAAGTTGACTTGTCGAATTACTATGGGAAGTAACAACGTCATTCTAGAAGTTAAGTTCTAAGTTAAACTGTCAAAATAGTTTCATAATAGCCGCTTTCCGGCTGACCATTTTGAGCACGCAATCGAGCTTCTGCGCGTGCAAATACTTCATGCTTGGGTTCGTGTTCCAGCCGTACTGCGCTCCGAGAGCCTCCAACTGTTGCGTTTAAAACACAGAACACTGTGCTGCACCGTGCTTGAAGCACAAACACAAGTCAGCTGGAAAGCAGCTAAATCTACCCTTAAGCATCCTTGTTTAGGCCCAATGTTCTGCGCATTTCATTTATCTGTTTTTACCTATTATCAACTTCCGAGAAACGGAAAATGGACAAATCAATCTGAAAGTATATAGAAGATTTAAATAGTGAAAAACTGACAATTTACCTAGCGGCAGAGTTTGTTAAGCAAAGGTTTGTTCGTTTGTATTGCACTAGCTTGAACTGAGCTTTAATATTTCAGATTAGGACAGATAATAACCATAAAGCTTCATTCTCAGTTGCGCGAAATTCCCTCTTTTTTTGACATTGCTTCGAAAATTTGACGCTTTATGCGTGTTTCAAACGTCAAATTGTCGAAGCAATGTCAAAAATAGAGCGAATTTCGCGCAACTGAGAATGAAAGCTTGCTTAAAGCTTAATTCTCACTTGCGCGAAATTCGCTTTTTTTTGACATTGGGTATATTCAGGCGGTGCCAGCGGCTTAGTTCAGCCACTCAGCAGGAACTTTATTCTCGAAACAGGGGAGCAGCGCTCTCATTGGAACGAAGTTTCTGTCTTTGTCGTCCGGCATAACACTGACAATGACAGAGCAATCATTCTTATGAGAACGCTGTTCCTTGGTTTCGAGAATAAAGTCCCTGCTGAGTGGCTGAGCTTAGTCGCTGGGACCGCCTGAATGTACCCATTGCTTTGAAAATTTGACGGTTGATACACGCATAAAACGTCAACCTGTCGAAGCAATGTCAAAAAAAGAGCGAATTTTGCGCAAAAAGAGCGAATTTCGCGCAAGTGAGAATGAGGCATTAAGCCTAGGACTCATAACCGCGAAATTCGCTATTTTTTGACATTGATTCGACAATTTGACGTTCACGCATAAAACGTCAAAATGTCGAAGCAATGTCAAAAAAGAGCGGATTTCGCTGTTATGAGTACTAGGCTCTAGTCGACCCCGATTTGCAAGAAACAGATGCGCTTACTTTCGTGCATTTAAAAATGGTTGAGATCGGGCTTGAGCACATGAGGTGCAACCTCAGATTAACACATAAAATAGATAGGTTCATTATGATTAAGGGCGGGTATTATAAGACTGCTTTGACAGTTAACTTGAAGTTAACTTTTTGAATTACATGTAATTGCAGAAGATAACTTTAAGTTAACTCTCATAGTTTTATAATACCCGCCCTAAATGATGCTCCAAAGTCCAAAAATTGAATTCCATTCTAAAGATCACTTGCGGACACTTACAGCAGATCTGCCATATTCATACATTGTTCTAAGCTGCAGAAAATATGAAATTGGAAATTGGAAATTGTAAAAAAAAAAAAATATCGTAAATAATAAGGTCTGTTTCCGCAGAAATCACAAAGCAGTCAGAGCGAATTTCATTGGTTGAAAACAATCAGAAACAGTCAGTTTGTGATGACTAGTTTGTGATTTCTGCAGAAACAGACCTATGAAAACCTAGATAGGTGTGGATACAATAATTATAAAATAAAATATTGCGGTGCTTTCCAAAATTAAATAGGAATAGTTATTACATAAAATAATAATCTATTATCACAATAAAATTTGAATAAGAATTTGTGCTAGCTGAAAATGAAAACACTGCGTAGAATCTCGGAACCTGGTTGTATTCGTGTAGAGCGCGCACCTAAATTGTTTTATCTTTGTTTAAATAACCAGATATTCGGTCTGTTTCTGCAGAAATCACAAACCATAGAGCGAATTCCATTGCTTGAAAACAGTCAGGAAACTAGTTTCAACCAATGAAATTCACTCTGACTGGTTTGTGATTTCTGCAGAAGTAGACCTAATAGCATTGAGCCTAATAGTTGTATTCCTTTCACACCTAGGAGGAGCTCCGGGGCGTTACGCGCTCATTCCTTTCGAAAAGTGTAAATGTTGCACCACGCACTTCCTTTCAAATCGGGGGCGACTAACACCGGAGCGCGTAGCTCGAGTATTTAAACTCTTGAAAGGAATACAACTATACATATGCAATGCAAATATGGCCAGCCCGACCCTATTCGCGAATGCGCCTAAAGTATTCGTAGTAAGAATTGTCAAACGTGTTTTGTTGTTAATTGGTCCGCAATCTTATCCCCACTCCATGTACGTAGTTCATTCGTGAATCCCCTATTGACGTTTAAGATTGTTGGCCGCAGAAACCAAGAACCCTTTTCACGTGGCTTCGGTTTAACAAATCGCAACATACCGCTCAAATTCGAGTGGTAGGTATCCATCACGTCACTGTAGTTAGAAAACGGTATGTCATTTCTCTAACCGTTTTGTAACCCGGAAACCCGGTTAGTTAAACCGGAGCCACGTGAAAAGAACTAAGCGTTTTTATGAATGACTTCCCCTCTCTATCTATGAAGTGTTACTCTGAGGGTGCAACAGACAATTTTCGAAAGGAATAAGCGCATAATGCCCCGAAGCTCCTCTTAGGTGTGAAAGGAATAGAACTAATAACGTTCGTCAGTTCATTGCCATAACACAAAGAACGCCCCAATGCAGGAAGCGCTGCTCCGAACAACACACACAAACAAACCTAAAGAGTGCACACTAGGTAGCACCCGGATACATTCAAACTAGCGTGAAAGTCAACCGGAGTTTATACCAATACATTTCCGAATATAGCGGCTATGCATAGGACTGTGATCCAACGTGGCCGATTGAATGCTAAATGCCAATGGCGGCTCCTAGGTTATGAATTAGGCAATGTTTTGCCCACTTTATTACTTCGATTCCAACGATTATTTTCCCAGGCATGGTGTGTCCCAGTTATGATACAGCCAGAGATTTAGTGTGTAGTTAACTCCCCTTTTGCTGGCTATAAGGAAATGAACTTGTCTAATTAACCATCAATCACCCCCATTTCGACCAACAAATCTAGGCACAAATAGCCCAATTTAGCTGCAAATATGCATATCCCAATCCCGGTAAATTCTTGCATCCAATCCCCCCAAGCCTCATTCTCTAACATCCCATACAATACAATTCGCATCACCTGCACCAAAACCATTACCTAGAGGCTCCTCAGGCCTCAGGATTGGTCAGGGTGCAGGGTTGTAGAACCCCTTTAATTCATACCCGCGCACACATCCTCAAAACTCACTTAATGTTAGTGAGACTGCGTCCAGTGGACCAGATCACCCAATAAATTAATGAAATGCGGAGTTTTTTGATGCCTTTTCCCTGCAGAAGGGCGCTGGCGCTCTGCAACCTGCAACCCCAAATCTGAGCACACCACCCACACCCTCAGACAGGCCACTGTAGTAACCTAGTGCGCACCATCTGTGGTATAGGCGTGCAAGTGTGCACAGCTTGCTGCGTCACGCTGCAGTTTAGTCTTTAAGTAGTCTCTGTCCTAGGTTAAGTAATTGTTGTAAATATTTTTAGTTAAGGGGCACCAGCCTGGTAGCTTTAAGTGTTTATATATGAATGTAATTAATTTAAAGAAAGAGATTTTGAGTTTGAGTTTGAATTAGGATACGTAACAAACGGAACAAATGGACCCGAGTTCGATTCTCGTTGGAGGCAATACATTTTTTTATCTACAAGCGTGCGGTAACTAAGATATATTACACGAATCTGCGTGCGGTAAGTACCACATTACCGCACGGCGTGCGGTAATATTATTACCGCACGCTCTACCTACATACGTACGTACCTTTAATTACCTACCGGAAATAAATTACCTACCTATCACCTAAATTCTACTTGTCCGCTGTCAAAGGTGATAGACGCAATTTTTTTTTATAATTTTTTTAATTTCTTTTGAATATTTTTTTACCGCACACTTGTAGATAAAATACTGTATATAATACGTATGAGGCGATTTTCAGCCTGGAATGATTATTTATCGGTAAATACCGTGGTTATTCTTTTGGTTGACAACTTTGACAGCCAAGTGTTACGTCATAGCCCCCCACCATTCAAGAATCATAACCCAAGAAACTAATCGCTGAAATGATTTGGTTATAGCAGTGTAGGAATATGTTTATTATTCTTATTTGTTTTTTCGTTTCAGCAATAGTTTTTTGTTTAGGTACAAAAAATGGAGCTGAATCTCTCGTTAGTCTCGTTTATCGAACAGATTTTCTTTGGGGATGATCTAAACCTCGATCTAAACATGGTGAATTGCAGTGAGTGAGTGAATGTATAGTTCTTTCATTGTGCCAGGCTACAACGCAACTGCAAAATCACAAAACACCAATACAAATTCCAAAAATAATAACAATAACATCAAAAAGCTGTAACCAAAAGATTAACCCAAGTCCAAAGCTGGGTTATAATCGGTTATAAATGGTAAATACCAAAAGCAAATCAGCTGATATGTGACGTCACAACTTCCCCTACTTTGGTTAAAACCGCGACGGCGGAAATGCATTGGTTATAACCAAATAATAATCATTCCAGGCTGAAAATCGCCTATGGTAATTGGCAACATGTATTTGGCCGACCAAATGTTAATTTTTCAATATTCGCCATACTCAATCGTTTGGTGGTCGTTTGGTGGTCTTTGGTATCCCACTTTTAATATTTGGTGGTAATTATTTAGGCAGTAATTAACAATTAAAAATTTCATATGACGTTGGCCGACATAACCTGATTCTAATTTATTTTTTGGCCCATTTATAGTCAAATCGAACGGAAATCGTTTGGTGGTCACGAATTTACCGAATTTAGCGTTTGTTAGTCAATAATACCGGAGTAATTAATCAATTAAGATTGTTTTCTGATATATTTTAATTAATCGTCGCGCATGCGCATATATTATCTGTTTTTCATTGAGCCGCCTCGATCGCGGCGTTGTCGTTGCGATCCGGAACTGGCGGTGGGAAAAATAAGATTGCAGTTGGATCAAATGCTATCTCTAGTAATCCACTTGCAACCTAAAAAACTTCTTATTAATGCACGGGCTAAGTAAATCACGATGTATACCTATTTTCAGTATTCGAGTAAGTATAGATACCTACCTAATTATTCGTTGATTGTAATGAAATAATTGATTTGATTGAAAATTATAGAATAGGTAGGCAACGCCGCGATCGAGGCGGCTCAATGAAAAACAGATAATATATGCGCATGCGCGACGAATAATTAGAATATATCAGAAAACAATCTTAATTGATTAATATCTCCGGTATTATTGACTACCAAACGTTAAATTCGGTAAATTCGTGACCACCAAACGATTTCCGTTCGATTTGACTATAAATGGGCCAAAAAATAAATTAGAATCAGGTTATGTCGGCCAACGTCATATGAAATTTTGAATTGTTAATTACTGCCTAAGTAATTACCACCAAATACTAAAAGTGGGATACCAAAGACCACCAAACGACCACCAAACGATTGAGTAAGGCGAATATTGAAAAATTAACATTTGGTCGGCCATACACATGTTGCCATGGTAATTAGGTTATTACCGCCCTTAGAGATTGCAAACCTCGCCTCACCGGCTCGGTTTACAAATTTCTCTCGCGTGCGGTAATAACCTAGTTACCAGTGGTTACCACACTTATTATATAATATACTATTAAAGTTTTTAATTTCTCCCATCCCATGGTTTTTTTAAGATTATTAAGAGAACGGGTTAGTTTCGGTTAGTTTGGATTTGCTTTATTTCGTTTGAAATACCAACATGCAAAGACTAGAACATATTACGAGCGCGTGCCCCTTCCCAGCGCTGTTTGGTTTTTGGTTTGGCAACGTTGGATCGCGATCCTATGTCTAGCCGCCAGTTTTCCGAACGGCTGGTGTGCACTCGGTGTGACGCCCAGAGCCGCTTTCCAGGGCCGAGTTCAGAAATAACGCACAGGGTGCGAGTGCGATTTTATGGGTGTGCCTGAATTGACAGTTGGCCATTGGGCCCATAGCACCGTCTAGCATTTTTGAACAGCTAGGGCGTCGCACCGGTGTCACACTCACACTGCGTGTGTCATTCCTGAACTCGCCCCACAGTATGCACATTGGCGCGCTCTGGCCCGCTCTAGAGCACCTCGGGGGCGCCACGCACTAGATTTGTACCGTTCCAGTATCATGGCGTGACTGCGTGAGACGCCTGTCTTGGTGTCAAATATGTCAAATTTTAAAAATAATTATCTGTTTGTTTGTGCAGTTTGTTTTTTTATTTATCAGAAATGAAAGAGAATCAAAACTATATATTTTAAAATGTTCAATCTTGAGATATAACAAGAAATAAATAGATAAATAGCCTCCCGCCGATGTGACAGCTGATAGGTTGACGCGTACGTACAGGGGCGAGTTCAGAAATAACACACCGAGTGTGAGTGCGATTTTATGGGTGTGACTTATGGCCGTTTGCACCGATCATTTTAAGGGAGGTTTAACGATAATCAACGTTTAAATTGACATTTTTACATGTAAAAATATCACTTGAAACGTTGATTATCGTTAAACCTCGCTTAAAATGATCGGTGCAAACGGCCATAAAATGACAATTCTTAGGCGACAACTTTCGTATGAATTTCTGAACGCTTGGTGTGACCAATCGAGCATCTCCTCAAAAATTTCACCAAATCTATTGGGATTACTTTTTTTTTGTTGTTCATTTTTTTAATTTGAAGGAAAAACTTTAATTCTTATTTGTGTTTTGCTTATATTTGGTGGGATTATTGAGATTATGGGAGGAATGGTTGACATTGTTGACATAAAGACACAATCACACCGCAGCCACACCAAAAAATTATGGTGTGACCGGTGCGACACCTGGAGCGCGCCCAAAGTACTTTCTGAACGGCACAGAGTGCGCGCACTCGGTGTGCCTATAGCATTTATGAACGGCTAGGGCGTCGCACCGCTGTCACACTCACACTGAGTGTGTCATTCCTGAACTCGCCCCAGCTCGGGAGCTCAACGCCCCGAGTAGCTCCGGGCGTCACACTCCCATACTGGAAAGCGGCTCAGACTGATTTCGAACGCACTCCTGTCATATTAACATCAATCATCAATGTCATTGTCATTAATGTCATTGATAAAATGGAAATCGGTTTTCTTTAGTTTATTTGTAGTATAAGTAATTAAAAAATATTTATATTTTTAATTTTTTAGTTATGTTAAAGAGACGTTACCTTGCAAGCAATTTTGGTATACCGTAATTTTGTATTTTAAAAATGCATTTTTCAATACCAGACACGCAAGAATTGAAAGAAGCCAATGGATCTACATTTATTGTGAGATAACATTCTTAAATAATTATTCAAATTATTGCTTAATAATTGTTTTTAGGGATACAACATTCATATTAATGGTGCTTTCCATTGTACTCTTCGATATAAGCAAATGCACAACTTAAATGAGCAATTAAAAAAGGAATTTGCTAATGATTATCTTCCACCTTTTCCACCCAAAAAGTTACTCCCCCTTACATCTGGACAATTAGAAGAAAGGCGGATTTTATTAGAAAAATACATTCAAACAGGTTTGCATTTATAAAACATAAACATCTAGGTATATGAAAACATTATTTTTTCTTAGTTGGCCAAGATTCCAAATTTGTGTCTTCCGAACTACTATGTGGATTTTTCTTATCCGCACAGCAGGAGAGTTCACGAAAACGTGAAACATATGTAAATTTAAAAATTTATACGTTTAATTATTACCCAGTTAAAACTAGAATTAGAATTACGACATCATCATTTGATAGCACTGAAAAAGTATTGATAAAAACATTGAAACAGATCAATTTACCAATAGAATATAACCAGTATTTTTCACTTTACCTCATAAAAATAGAAAATTCAAGTGATATTGTAGTTGTGAGGAAATTATTTGATTTTGAGTCCCCATATTTGACACAACAAGTTTTAAGGAGTCCTACTAAAATAGTCATAAGGAAGAGGTAAGTTATTATTTACAAATTGACTTATAAGTAAATTGTGGGCCTATTTAACGCTTTTATGTACTCCACCGTCTCTATCAAGTCGATTTATTTTTCGAGGGTTAGTAGGCTGCTTGCTATGAGGCTCTCCAGTTTTGTTCAAAAACTTTTTGAGGACCGGACTTTCTAAAATGCTGCTTTTGAGGTCTAAAACAAAGGATATCTGCCTTACTCAAATATGGGCTGATACATTTTAAGCCCGGTTTTAAGGTAAACTATTGGAAATACATATACTTCTTTGATTTTCAAAAAGCATAATGGAAGAAGGAAATTAGAAACAACAACTAGGAATTGATACAACTACCTAACCTTGGAATGGAAGAATAAGTACTACAAAAATTGTCTATTAATATGTGTGCCGCAATTATCAACGAATGCTTGCAGCAATGCTTTAGCTACCAAAAAATTGCATCAGCCAGCTCAAATTTGGGCAAAACAGATTTCTTTTGCAAAGACGCTAAATGTAGAATTTAAGGAAAAGACACATAAGTCTGATAAGTACTGTCTGAAACTTTCCGATCAAATCTAGACAGCCTCACAAGAATATAGCAGCCTACTAACCCTCCAAAAAATAAAACAAATGGGTCCGTTTTATGAAAGACTTTTTTTTTTAGTTATTGGGACACAATTTATGACAATGAAATTATGAAAGATCCTGTAGCTCTGAATTTGCTGTACAAACAAATATTATCAGAAATTGAGAGAGGAAGCATACACACAACGCCTCCTATTAAAGTACAACTAGAAAAACTTAAATTAAGATTAGCAAAGAAAGAATACATTTTGTTTGCTCAAAAACAAAAAGACTACGGCTTCATGCAATTTGCTCAATGCTACAGTGATTTTCCGAAGCCACAGACTAAAGTATCAGTTGCAATAGGTGACAAGGAATTGCGCATCCGTCTTCTAGACCAATTTCTGTATGCAGAGGATGCTTTTAAAGTTACTAGAATGAGGTGCTGGAGAATAACTACAACAAATGTAAGTCTTTTTGTTCAAATATTAACCACTTATGATATTTTTTATTTAAATAGATACTTAAGTAGTATAAAGTTGACTTTTCCAGTTTTATTAGCAATGGCTAGTTTAATGATGTTTTGATATCTAAATCAGTAGCATTCTAGAACTTGATGATGATACCCATTACCTAATGCCCTAAATGGATTTTTTTTATAAATGTATTGTACTCCCACAATAATCGTGAATTTTTACTTCCTATGTAATTCTCTCAATTATACAAAATTAAGTGAACCTACCGATAAAAAAATATGCTCTCGCCTCGACACACACATTCTAATGGGGACTTTATTTGTATGACCTCATTCTTAGGACATGTGATGAAAAAAATGTTCTAATGGCCTTTTCCACCAACTATTTTAGGTAAGCCTTAACGATAAGTATTCCTTAAACTGACATTTTTCCATGGAAAACTGTCATTTTAAGGAATACTTATCGTTAAGGCTTCCCTAAAATAGTTGGTGGAAACGGCCATAAGAGTTAGAGCAATATAAAGAATGGGCGAAAATATATTTTTTGCCACAGAAAGGTCCAAAAAAGTAATTATGGTAAGGGGGAATGGATTATTTAGTATAAAAATCGGTTTGTTCTCACAAGAGTCTCTGACAGTTTAGAAACTGTCAGTGAAAGCATCACACATACATGTTTTCAATGCTGTCGTTCAAAGATGAATTGGTAACTTAGCCGAGCGCTTGTTTCTGACTGGTTGCAAACTGTCAGAGACTCTTGTGAGAACCGGCCTAAAATACAACAGTTTTTCTATATTCAAGTCATTAGGTGCTGAAATCGGGCATTTTTAAAAAGAAATATGAGGTACCTAGTTATGATTTTTTTTTTGCTTGTTGGGGTGCTGATGCGAATCTCAGGTTTGCCAACAAAAAAAAAATGTTTCCTACAATTTGAGCTATCCGCTATGTAAGTATGCATGGTGGGGGTATGTTGTCCCTATTGTAGCGCACACAGTGGGCAATATTGGCAACTGTAGCGTGTGAGTGAATTTGCTTGCGTTTTTTCACATTTTTAGTATTATAAACATGCATATACAAGGTGCAGTTTCCATTTTTCAAAAAAATTTGATCAAATTTTTTATAAATAAATTGCGCTTCAAAAGTGCAAATATAATACCACCAGATGTCGCCACAAACGTTTTACATGGCGAATAGCCAAAACACTTGGTTGAAATTGTTAAAAATCAGAAACAATCACTTTCGGGTAAAACAGAACTCCATAATAGAATAAACTAAATTTGTGCCTGCGACAATGATGTGACATACATTCATTTGAACTACAAATCCATTGCTCTTATCATTCTTAATGCACCCTGGAAACAAAAACTTTATTCGCATAAAGTACTTTACGCTAGAACAAGATTAACAACCAAGAGAGAACTTTATTAGTAAGGCAAATAATTTTAGTGCATATACAGACAGGCTGGTTCTTTTTGTTCAAGCCACCCTAAGAGCCAACAGGTAAGTCAAACTGGCCAACTGATGGTTTTTGAGTAATAAGCCAAAAAACTGGGAATACAAACTTTTTTTAATGTTTCTTGGATGTAAGTCAAGTTTCTAAAAAAAGATTCTCTGGCAAACCTCAGATTCGCTGCCTAAAACAAAACGCAAAACCAGATACCCAAACTACCCCAGGAGTTGATTCCAAACTAGCTAATCACTAGACTATAGCAACTTTGCTAGTTTTTCTAGTTGTGGTTTCAATTTGTGATGATAGGTTTATTCAGAAAGTGACTTGTTTACCCTTTGGATACTCATTGAGTCTGTTATAAATTGTAACACGTTTTTGTTTTGTGAAGTATCCACACAAATTTTAAATTTCCTTTCATGAGTGTATGTTTTTTAAAACCTATCTTTGTGCATTATGCTAATTCACATTATGTTTCTCACATTCCTACAAAAATAACACCTTTTTAGTAATATTTTTCCTAATTTTTATTCTAGAATAAAAGTCCAATACATTTAGAAAATGGACATTCAACTCAGGTTCCATCAAATTTAGAATTATCATTCGAATACCTCAAGTCTAAAGACAAATTAGAATGGATTACCATTAACAGCGATCAAGCAATATTGATGTCCGTTTGTCTTCGATCTTTAGTTGAAGAACTACTTATGAAAAAGAATGGATTCAAGAAACCGAACAGTTTCAAGTCGAGTAGAAAATGGACATATATGAAAAGAGATGGAACTTGCCAGTGTATTACCATTAATAACGATTTAAATAATTCTGATGTGAGTATATCCTTACAATTTTGAATTAGTGTGAAATCTATAAAATCCCAAATTCAAGGTCAATTTGAAAACTTCTCACATCTTTGATCCTGGAAATTATAAATACTTAAACTACATTTTTCTTTTTTTTTTATGAGAAAATTATTCCACTAGAAGCAAAATTTCTGTTGCGTAACGAATAGTAGGTAGCATTTTCATCAATTGAACCCTATGCTGGAACAACGTTGTAAACGACAATGTGTAAAAACGGTATTTTCATGGAATAACGTTGTATTGTACCCTGGATAATTCGCCAACTTAATAGTGGGATAATATGATTTTTTTTTATGAAGTATTGATGCCATTTCAATTGGCCCAGTATGTCCTTTTTGTGCAATAACGTTTTAATTGCAACCGCCCTAGTTTCGCGCTTGTTTGGTATATTTGGCGTTTGAAACGTTGTTCCAGCATAGGGTTCAATTATTCTTGCCAAAATTGCAAAAATTGTTGTGACTTCGGCACAAGGGAAGCTCTGTGGCCCTAATGCAAAAAAGAATCTTATTGTTTTACTGTATTGATTGCAGACTTAATCAACTCAAACCATAGTTGTCGCTTATGTAAATCAGTTGTGATAATGTGTTCATGTTATCAAAACGATATTTTTATTTTCAAAAAAACAGTTCATAGGTACAGTTGTGAGCATTGAAAATGAGACACCCGACTGACAGGTCTTGTAATTTTTCGCTATTTTGGGTAAATCAGTCTTTTCTGTACAATGGATTTGTTGTCAAATATGACAATTCCTGTCATTGCCGAAGGTGTAGCTGGTGAGCCTGTTTTCCAATAGGAAAAATCGGGTGCCTCATTTTTAATGCTCACGACTGTATGTATGTTTTTGAGCTCTTGTTGCAGCCAAACTTTTCTTTTAACCTTGTCCCTGCATTGTGACTGTGCCAGTTAAAAAAAAATATATTTATTTCAATCCAAATAATGTCCCCACATTTTCTACTGAACTTTCTTTCTCCGTGATATTGATATTATCAGAGCCTTCATCCATGATATCATAAATGTTATCACTTTGATTTCTTAATAATTCAGTTTTATCCTATTTCTTAATTCAGTTTTATTCTATTGCTTCATCATCATCATCATAGGCTTTCACTCGCGAGTGTTTGCTCAACTGAACATGGGTCGAGACAACAGGAACCATTGGTGTTACCAAATTATAAAGTGGTGTCCAATTAAACACATAATTAATCCCCTTTTTTAAATTCACATTGTATGCAATGAATGTTTATACAGGGTGACATTTTAAAAACTTACAATGGCTTTATCTCAAGAAGCAAAAAAATAATAAAAAATCGCTGAAAACAATTTCTATAGTAGGGAGGGGGAAACAAAATTATATAATAACTAACTTGTTTCCACTTACCCCCTCACCCCCAGCCACCCCAACTCAATAATCTCAAATAGCAACCCCCTACTTGTGATACCTTATCTGAAAGCTGCTTTTCAATGGTACCCTACAAGCTAGGATTCGATCTGATTGTTTTTGGTTTATAGGGTAGATAAAACTTTCATTTAAATTAAAATTGTATTTTTTTAGACTTGTCAATTTTTTCAGGTTCCCAAAACAACGAATAAACAAAAAATAATACAAGCCAAAAATGTTTAAGTCTAAAGATTAATGCTACGATGGTAAGAAAATGTTTTTGAATGTTTATTAAATAAAATTCAATTCACATTTCAATGGTTTTATTTTGAAAATTATTGACAATAATTGTCAATAATTTTCAAAATAAAAAGGATTCGATGTAATAATTATTATTACATCGAATCCTAGCTTGTAGGGTACCATTGAAAAGCATTTTTTAAGAGCTTTCAGATAAGGTATCACAAGTAGGGGGATGACATTTAACAATATTAAGTTGTGGTGGCTGGGGGTGAGGGGGTGAGTGAAAATAAGTTAGTTATTACATAATTTTGTTTCCCCCTCCCTACTCTAGAAATTGTTTTCAGCGATTTTTTACATTTTTTTTGGTACCTGAGATATAGCCATTGTAAGTTTTTAAAATGTCACCCTGTAGATCCCCCTCTGATCCTTTTGTGGTAAATCAGAAATACTATTGTTGACGGTTAAACAAAAATCTAATCAATACGTATCTGGAATAATAATAATTGTGGTGGTTTTCAAACTGACACTGTGTACCTGATATTTCTGCAGGTTTTAATGCGCAAAATCGTAAATTATCAAGACATTTTCTAAATATAGGATCAAGGAAGTCAAAGTGACCACAGCTACGCAGCACAAGAACCATTTTCAATGAAAACTCTGCAAGAAAATTTTTCGAGTGTTTTGTTTAAAAATGGTAGAGAATTTATTGAGAACCATGCCTTTGAAGGAATAGGTGACGAAGATTTATAGTTTTAGTTATATACTTGGGGTGCATATTCTAATAAAAAAATACAGTCCAGCCAGCGGGATTTTGATTGGTCATTCAGAGGACAATCAAAATTGCGATGATATGTACCTACTCTATAATTTCCGTTGGAACATTCCCATTCTACCGGGTCATCAAAAAAAAAAAGATAAATCGAAGATGACTATGACTTTTTGAACTATTCACTATTATGCTTTTTTCTTCTATCAAAAAGGCATGTTCTTTAAGCAAAAATCTTCTGATCAATAAAGAAACAATAATGCTGTAAGTTTCTGTAATCAAAGCACTCTTTGATTTAGTTTTTTTTATGAAGGCCTGGTATTCTGATAAACAAATTTTTACATGCTCAGTATATTAATAATAATTAATCTAGTTATTTACTTATTAATGAATATTCTTGCCAAAATAATATTATATTGTCAGTTAACTTTACTATATTTACCTATGTATTTGTTTGTATGTATGTTTGTTTAAACTTTATTTTTTGTTGTCTGTTAAATTTAATGTTTACCTATGCCATCTTACTTTACCTTAATTTTAAGGATGTGTCCTCGCTACTCAAAACGGCACCTATTTATTGCTGTAAGGGGAGCACTCTCAGCAACTGATACCTAAAAAACTTAAATATTTTATCCATTTAAGCAGACTAAACGTGATATCTTATAAGGTAACTTCATTGAGAAATTTACGAGTACAAAAATGAAGTAAACCACAAATATTGGTTTTGCTGAGCTAATACCAATAAAGTCAGTTGAAATTGGCAATATTGAATTCAAGTAAGCACCTATTACTTTATGAATGTGTGCTGTATCGAAGAAGCAATATTCGATAATAAAATTCCTCTAGTTAAATTCGGATAGCGATGTCGTCTATAAATAGCGCATAGAGGTCAGTTTAAATACAAAATTTTTTGTGTATGTTTCGATAAGGAATAAGTCAATTTTTTCAATAAAAGTTGTTAAGCTGGATTCAGAGCTGCTGTAACGTAAGACTTGCCAGAATTTGTAAAGTGAGTTTTAGTGGACCCGGAATCCGTGATAGCATAAATTACCTTGAAAGACTATATTTTAAAGAAAAGATTTCAATTTAGTCTTGTTTCCTTATTTTTTACTTACATCCCGAATAACATAGTCACCAGTAATTTTTTTTAACTTTTTTTTGCCAAAAGTACTGCTGTGATTTGAAACATGAAATGCAATATCTGTGTTCACTATTAAAAAAAATCACAGTTAATTCATGTTTTTTAACAATCACAAAGTTAACTGAACTGAGAACGGGGAAAACAATAAGGTGAAACCTCCCGCTTTTTTAAAATTTTCTATTGGGCTTGGCTCGAAAAAACATGCTGGACAGTATAATTTTTAATTAGCTAACTACTTTTATAAAGTACCTTGCTGCACGCGTTATTCTGCAAGGCAGTAGCAGCCTGATTGAATACCGCTTTTGACATCGGAGGCTCGTCCTAATATTAAGGTCCCTTACTAGTTTAATTCTTGACTGCATATGACCTCAAAAATCAAAAAAGTATTTTCTGTTTTGAAAAATTTCAATTAGCAGTATTGGCGCTTTAATTTATGAGAAATATGCAGTAAAGTTTACTTTAGTTTAAAGAATTCATGGGAGGCAGCCCATGATACGAGGCAGCAAATCTCACAAATGTCTTTCACATTTCTTTTATATATATATATTTAATATTAGGTACTCATTTAATTTCCAATGATTTGTATATTATCTTAAGTACATGACAAAATCCATCAAAAGTAATCCATCCATTCCAGAATATGTATGTATTTTTTAATATTTTATGGTATTAAGGTGATGTAAATTAATCAGGAAATTATATCTGGATGTTCTTAATTTATTATATTGATTCTTAAAGCAGGTAAAGCGCTGTCCTAAGGATAACAGGAGTAGCAGGAGTAGGAACGCGCGATTCTGCAATGAAACTAAAAGTGAAGCCAGTTTTTAGCAGATGTTTGTAAACCAAATGCCAGGTAAAGCATTGAATTAGCTATACCGCCATTATTTTGGATCTCAAAATACCTGGAAAAAACGGATTCATTTTCCAACTTCATGTTCCTACTCCTCCCACCTAGGAAATTACCTGCTCTTAGTATTGATGAAATAAACTGCTCAATTTTTATTTAAAAAACAAGGCTACAATATAAAAGCAGTATATTAATTTGGTTCGGATTTATTTTCAGACAAACTATAGAAAGTTAGTCATGAATTTTATTTTGTGACTTTCATATTTTTATAATATTTATCTATATTATGTACAATGTATTCCGTCATTCCAATGTTGTATAACATTCCCTTGAAACTTTGCTCTTGCCAAGTGGATCATTTAGTTTTTTTGTATTTTTATAATAATAAGATTTTTCTACTACAGGTATTCATATAGTACCTAGTGTATTTTGGCAAATTATGTAATATATGTATATTTTTAATTTTAATAATGAGATTTTTATTTTCCTTCAAGCAGTTCAAGCTAAACTTTTCTCTGCAGTTTCAAGAGGCTTAACGCCATAGCCAAAACTTTCAATGGTTCAAAGTTTTAAGCTATAGGTTATACTTTTATTGTAATTCGTTAGTTTAGTTGTAAAAAAAAAAAAAAAAAAATATTTGGTCATGGAGGTCAATGAACCTGAAATTGTGTTTTGAATTAAGCAACTTTTAAAATTTAATTTGATTTAATCAACTTTTTTGGCAAATATGGCTTCCTCGATGGCTTCCAACTGTGCGCTTTGTCTAACAAGATGCATTTTCAAAAGACGTCCCAACTCCAAGGAGGGTGAACTCTTTGGATGTAACTGTGATGGATGTAAACGATTTATATGCAAAGACTGTGGAAACCTATCCACCACTGAAACGGATGCGCTTCTATTGCAAAACAAATCCCTCCTATTCTTTTGTATGGAGTGCAAAGCCTGTTTTCCGGAGATTAATAACCTTTCTCAACATTATGATCAGCTCAGTGATAAATTAGTTCTAAAGGAAAAATATATCAGCAATCTTGAAACAGACATCGAAGATTTAAAAACAAACTTAAAACAGGAAATTGATAGACTGAAAAGGGAAAATGAAATGAAGGATAGTCATATCGATCGCCTCGAGAGACGCACTCAAACATTGGATGATGAGGTTTTTGAGGCTGAAAATAATTATTTAACTACCATTGATCTTTCAAAAATTGGAGTTAAAACGTGTCAACTTGGAGCTGGCTGATGTAATAAAATCCAATCAGAGCCTCACTAAAGAGCTAAATACCCACATATCAACAATTAAAACACTTGAAAAAGAGATCATGGCTCTAAATAATTCCAAATCAGCTTTTCAATATAAAATAATTTCTTTGTCCAATGTTCAAGATATGTATGTTAAAGAAATAAACGATTTGACTCTGAAAATTAATATGTCAGAGCCTAACATTTGTACGCAAACCAAAGAGCAGATAAAAAGTGTTGAAAATAATTCTAAAAGTGTTAAAATAAATTCCTCGATAAATTCAAAGAGTAATAAAAATTCAGACACAATGAACATTTCTGACAAACTTTCCTCTCCTAATCTCTCAAGAAGCCAGAAATCATCAGAATCCTACATTCCCCAGAAAAATCGTATATTGTTGCTTTGTGATCAGATGGGCAGAGGGTTGGACAACAAACTGAGGTATGAGCTGGATTCTTCTAAATACGAGGTACAATGTATCATCAAGCCGTTCGCTTTTTATGAAGACGTTTTGGAAAATATAACGTGTTTTACCAAAGATTTTAATCAAAACGACTATATAATTATTTTAGCAGGATATAATGATTTTTATAATAACAAAACCCCTAGGCTAGTATATTTGTTAAGTAAGTTAAAGATGTGTGTGCATACTAATGTTGTTGTCTTATCTACACCTATATGTCATAAGAATTATTTTAAATGTTGTGAGTTCAATAATAAGTTAAGATATTTAGTCCAAAGTTTTGAAAAATTTTCTTGTAACAGGGTTTCGTTTGTTGACAGTTGTAATGCACTAGGTAGAAAGCATACAAATTCAAAGCTATCGGGACTAATTTTTGATGCTCTGAATTCCTCGAACAATAAAAATTTGATTTACATTAATATTAAACAAAACATGAATGCAAATGGTACACAAAGTGATAAAGTTAACTCTCCCCCGTCAATTAACCTATCAAGTGTTTCATCTATTGAGGGTCTCAACACTTCTTTCTCTGAAACAGAATTGCCATCCGTCCTTAGTTTTACTTCTCCAAATCCCACTAGCATAAATTTTCAACAGGAACTAGAAAACTTAGCCAGTACTTAAGTGATAAAATAACAATTTTTTATCAGAATTGTAGAGGGGTTAAAACCAAGTTGGAAAAACTCAAGTTAAATATATTAAGTAATGATTATGATATTATAGCAATCTCTGAAACTTGGTTGAATGAGTCAATAAATAATCCCGAATTTAGTTTTCAGAATAGAACCACATTTAGAAAAGATCGTGATAGATTAATAACTAATAAAACCCAAGGAGGAGGGGTATTATTGCTCTTGAGAGACACTTTCATAGTCTCGGAAGTTAGGATTTTTGATGAGGATCAGGAGGCATTGTGTGTAAAGATAAAGATAAATGCTGTGTCTTTTCTTATTGTGGTAGTGGCTTACTTTGTCCCCGAGAGCCCAAGTGATGTTTATGAGAAATTTTTTGAAAAGATGGAGCATCTTCTTGATGGTAATAATTCGGAATTTATCATAGTTGGTGACTTTAACATTCCCAGCTATGTTAACACTTTATCATGTAACAATAATTTAAACCTGTTAAAATCATTTTTGTCCTTTAATAACCTCATACAGTTGAATCATATACGGAATCATAATAACGTTATTCTAGATCTTGTAATTGCCTCTTTTGAGAATGTACAGGTTGACAGAACAGAGGATTCTCTATTGCCAGTTGATAAACATCATCCTTGCCTGAGTATCTGTTTGGAAACTAGGTCCCCTGTCGAACACTGTAAAGTCGTATCAACAACTAAATTTAATTTCAAAAAGGCTGATTTTCATTTAATGTATAGATTATTCGAAAACCAAAACTGGGCTGTTTTGGATAGTATTGCTGATGTCAATTTGGCCATTGATTCTTTCTACAATATTCTTAATAATATATTTCAGCAGAGTGTACCAAAATCTACACAAATAGACAAGAAATATCCTGTTTGGTTTAATGGAGAAATCATTAAACTGATTAAGCAAAAACATAAATATTTTCTAAAATCTAAAAAGAATAAATCTAATTTTTGGCGTCAAAAATATATTACACTTAGAAGTACAGTAAAATACAGGATCAGGCTGGCTTATAGCAATTATCTCCAGGAGGTTCAATCGGGCTTACAGAGTAATCCTAAGTTGTTTTGGTCATACCTAAAAGGACTCAAGGACTCGCCAGATATTCTTCAGGAAATGATAAATAATGATAAAACCTATGTGGGCTCTCAGCGGGTGGCAGATGGCTTTGCTGATTTCTTCAAATCTGTTTATATAAATGACAATGATGTTTCATGTTCCTCTAGTGCCCCAAGATCTTTCTTTTGTGAGAAGTCTATCTCGACAGATGATATAGACATGGCAATCAAAAGGCTCAAGGGAAACAAGGCAATTGGTTCAGATGGAATACCAGCCTATATTCTAAAGGGCTATAGCCAACATCTATTGAAACCCCTGCAAGTTGTATTCAATCTAATTATAAAAACATCAAATTATCCAGAAAAATGGAAAATAGGCAAAGTCATTCCGATTTTTAAATCTGGTGTTAGACAGGATATTAAAAACTACCGCCCCATATCTATTCTGAGTTCAGTTTCCAAGGTATTTGAAATGATTATATTTGAATTGTTATTTAGTGAAATTTCTGGAAAAATTACCTCCTGTCAGCATGGTTTCTTCCCTCATAGGTCAACATTCACCAACTTGGCCACATTTAGTCAATATGTGCATGAAGCCATAAATAATAAATCGCAGGTTGACGTTATTTACACGGACATGGAGAAGGCATTTGACAGGGTCAGACACTGCGTAATAATTAAGTCTCTCCAGAATATGGACGTGCCTTTGTATTTGATTGGGCTAACTCAGTCATATCTTAGTAACAGGTTTCAATATGTTGAAGTTAAGGGTTGCAAATCACGGATCTTTAAAAGCACCTCTGGTGTGCCACAGGGTTCTAATTTGGGCCCTCTCCTCTTCTTGGCAACAATAAATAATATTGTTGGAAACCTGGAAAATGCTGTGGCCCTCATGTTCGCCGATGATTTCAAATGTTTTTTCCAGATTAATTCCGTTGAAGACTGTGTGCAACTGCAGAATGATTTTTGTAGTGTGACTAATTGGTGCGAAAATAATAGCTTTAAAATGAATATTGCAAAATGTACCTGTATGTCCTTTACCCTTAACCACAATGCTATAAATTATGACTATAAATTAAATGGTACTAATCTCAAACGAGTTGGCCAACAGAGAGATCTTGGAGTGGTGTTTGATTCTAACTTGTCGTTCTCTGGTCATATGGCATCTAAAATTGAAAGTGCACAGAGGGTGGCAGGATTTATCTCGAGAAACACAAAAAACTTTAGAATGGAGGTGAGTCTACATCTTTTTGATAGTTTGGTGGTTCCCATTTTGGAATATGCAAGCATAATTTGGTCTCCGCAATACAATGTGTGGGTTACATTAATAGAAAGGGTACAACGAAATTTCCTCAAATGCATGTATTTTCGAAAATTTGGTATTTATCCGCAAAGAGGTTGTGATCAGGGCTACCTACTGAGCATTTTTGATAGGCTTTCCTTGAGCAAAAGAAGGGATAGGGTGATTTTGTGCACAATGTTCAATATTTTGAGGGGAACAATTGATTGTCCAGAAATGCTTGCCCAGTTACCATTTGCAATAAATCGATTCAACTCGCGAAATCAGAATGTTTTTTATTTGGCATATCCTCGTACTAATCTGTACAAAAATTCTCCCATATATAAAATGTGTCAGGTTTTTAATTTGTATGCTTTCGATATTGATATTGACACAATAAATATCAAAGCTTTTAAGAAAATTATTGATGAAAAGCTTCGAATGTGAGTATTGTTTTCGTTTGTTTTTTTTGTTGACTTTTTTACTTTATTATATTGTGAATCTTTTGATTAGAATTAGATTTAAAGTTTACTTGTAATAGATGTAAGTTTTGTATCTGTGATTGGCCTCTTGGCTGTTGATACTTAATGAATAAATAAATAAATAAATAAATAAATAATAAATTTTTAAAAAGGCAAACCTCCGATCGTGTTAGTTAAGTGGCGCAGTCGGAATGGTTTTTCGGGAATCAATATAAATCGATTATATTGATTTTTTCCATTTCAACTGGATTACTGGCAAAAAATCTAGTGTTGTGACGTTGGCGGATGTGTTGAAACAGACTGGACTTTCTGAATATCGAAAACTCCCAATCTATCGTAGACCTGTGGATTATCATCGACCAACTGATCATCGAAAAGTAGAACCAAAATTGTCTACTTTTGCAAGGCTCAAGATTTTTGGAGAGGACAATAACCAGTGCCAAACCGAAACTTCGACCTTATAGGAAATGACTGGAATTGCTTGCCCAATATTATTCCTTACGAGTACAGTACCGTTACCGGAGACCCCGACAAAATCGCAATCAGGAAATTTTAAGACAATCCAGGGATTTTACCACTGCAATTAGGACACGTAAAAATCACCCAATACACTTACCCCCTGTATACACTTCTTTGACTTAAATTCAATTTTGATAGAACTAAATACACTTACGATCCGAAAATATTTAGTATTCGCTGATACTACACAAAGAGTAATACGCTGAGTCAACAAATGATTTAAAAATCTTAACTTTATACAGGATCGGGAATTAGATGCATCCGATGGCGAAAGATACGAACAATTAATAAAAAAATTAGAAAATCACCAAATTGATTTGGCTCAAAACATTCGAAATCAAAATGCTATATTGGCTAGCGTGATCAATAAATTTAATGCCTCAATTTCCACAATACACAAAATTCAAAAACTGCTAGAAAACATGGATTTTATAAGACATATTCTACATCAAATTATTAACCTTTATGAAATACTCATCGACTTAAACCTTGCAAGATATCGAAAATTTTATACCTTTTTCTGAATTAAAATTTTTTCACCTAAGTATCATA